TTTTTTTTTTTTTTTTTTTTTTTTTTGTTTGCTTGCCCTTCCCATCCAGGGAGCAAAGCCACAAGAACCATCTCTCCTCTATCATGACATTCAGGTTACAATCTGAATGAGTTGTGTCCTCTTGCTAACTCGGGCCAAAGCCCAAAATAAATCCCCTTCAGAAGACCAGGAAACAGAAGCAGCACAAACTGTGAAGCCAAGGACTACTTCCACACGGCCATCATCAAGAACGACCAACACAATGCCTTAACGTGAAGGAAAATGTCACTTAACCACAGTCCCCCACTTAACAGAATGGGCCTGTTTTCTTTGAAACACTGGGTGCAGCTCCTGAGCAGGACAGGCTAAACATTTCCTGGGAAGGCGATACGTCATCCCTGGAACAGGATACAACCCTGAGAAAAGGCAGAGTGGTTGGAAACAAGAATCATGCAAAAATTTCTGTTGGAAGGGGCCCTTTGGAGGTCATCTGGTCCATCACCCTGCTCAAAGCAAGGTTATGACATTATTCCAATGCTTTCATTGTTCAAAATTGTCCCAGTCAACTGTGGCCTCTGTCTCAATTCCCATGTGTAAAATTGAGCTAAATAGGCTCATCAAGCTCCATCGTCACAGGAATGAAGCCAAAATCAGCAGCACCTGCAAGGCACTCCAACTCCAGCCATGTAGCCTGCACAATTCACTTATTTGATCTGACATACAAAATCGATTTTCTTCTTTATTTCCACACAGTTTTAAAAAAATAATCAATAAAATAAAGAACTTTTACTGTATTTAGAAATCTCATGATAAGGAAGGGAATATGTACATGTTGACACCAAATATCAGCATATAACATGCACTGACACATTAATACAAGCTTTCTCCTCCACGTTAAGGATCATCTTGGTATAAAATACAAAGTACAAATCTATATTCCCGTCTGCCACTGCAGCTCCAGCCAAGACCAACGTCCCTCCGTGCCAAGCGCCATGGAGGCACGCAGCAAGAATCGCCGTGCCACCGTGTTTACAGGTTAAACAGATAAATGCTTGCTGGGAGGGAACACAAAGGGCCAGAAAATGAAGCGACCCACCCCAAGGCTTTACAGATGACTGCCAGCACAGTCTGTAATCCGGCCGGCATTGCCTCTCCACCCACACAGCAGCGACATCCCCATTTTCTTCAAAAGCTGGCTGCCTCCATTCTGCCGCACGGCTGCCCAGCTCTACCAAACACCGGCTGGGCAACCGTGGCATTAAGTTGCTTTAGTGCTTGAATAAACATGTCACTGGAGCTGCGCAGCACTTAATTATATAAATTAGGAGATCTGTATAATGGTCCTAAACCAGTAATGAAAGAGAAGGTCTAATGATGCAACAAAAATCTGCAACCCAGTGCTCAGATTACGGGTGAGTTACACAACAGCTCAAACAATTAAGCGTTTAGGTGGCTAGCTGCAGACTTGTATAGTGCAGATCATGTTTTCCCAGAGCCATCATCTGACTCCAAACATGTGAGATCCACTCAAGCACACCCTACCTACCTTCTTTGCCCCCGAAGCTCAAGGGTGAAGGCGAGGAGCTCAGTGTTTGAGCAGCACTGCCATCCACAGCCCGGCAGAAGAGATGCTCTGAAGCAAAGTCAGCCCTTTTCCCAAATCTCCCTCCCAAATTCACGTTCAAACTCAACAGATACGTCTAAAGCCTGTCCTAGCAACCCCTTGTATCTCACGAGTAGTGCTGGCTCCTCTCAGCATTAACATCCCATGATACAGAGATGACATAACTCCAGTGAAACCTGTTCAGTTTACAACTGGGGTGACTTTTGCACTGCACCGTGCGATTTAACTCCCAGCTGCAGCCTCGTTTAAGAAAGCATCATCACCACAGGGTCAACAGAGAGAGGTCACCCATCAACTCTGACCACAAATAAGGCAATTTAGGTATTTAATGAGCACTCAACATGAACAGTTTATGTGGAACAAAATGCTCCTACCCCAAGATTTCTGAGTGTAGGTTTTTTACTGAATAGGCCCAAATACTTCCAGATAGTATTGATTTCTATTCATAGCTTTGATACGGCTTAAGGGAGAAATCATTTAGTTTGAAATACTCTTTTATGCTATATTGACCTTTTATGTCAATAAACATGGTACCAAATTGCTGCTTAGCAGCCTAATTTTACCTTCTTTTTGTAAAGTGCTCAGATGAAAAGCACTATACCAGGGCTGAGAAGTATTATTTGGATTTTGAAAAGCAGTTAAGTGTCATGGTCAATCCACATGTTCAATATTGAAGGGCTCAAAAGAAAATTGACAGCACCAAAACTGCAACGGTTAGGAAGTGTGACAGTATCAGCTTGGAAGCTGCCTGCCAATATTTGCATGCGCTTGTTCAAACAAAAGCCCTAAGAAGAGATGCTATGCCTTATGTAGAAACCCTTTAAAAAGACTAGTATGTCATTGTTCTTATTACAAAAATGCCATACTTGTATCCCCCTTTCACCTGCAGAATAAACTGTCAACTCTATTAAAATCCAGATTGGGAACTTTTCACTTCCACTTCCATAAGACCCTTCCTGCACACCGTCCCTCCTCCACAGCCCCGATGCTTTCCCACCTGCACCGCGGCCCATGAAAGCCAGAAGCAACGCCAGCAGCAAAGCAGGCAACGAGTGAGGCACGGTGCGGTAGCGAGGAGGGGAGAGCTCGCGTGATTGTTGAGGAATCTCTGAATGAAGCCTCTGGGGCCATCCTGTACTGAAGGGCCTGCAGCTTGTTTCTGGGTGCATTAACACACGTGGTCTCTGGTTACAAAGTGCATTGGCATATACTTAGTTCTGATCCATCCGAGCTCTTGCAAGGCAGGCTGAGTACATAGGCACTTCACAGCTGAAGCCACAACGCTGTTAGTCACACAAATATCACTGAGCGCACAACAGCAAAGCTCAGAGAATTAAACTGCATTTGTATTTTGTTGCCTTTACATACAGAATTACTTTTGTCAAGGCAGAAGGTAGCACAGGGTGCTGTTACAAGCCCTTTGTAGCTGCAGAAGATCTGCAGTTAATACATCAAGACGGATGGCTGGAAACCACCAGCGTGCAACCACAGAGCATCTTTTACCATGCAACCCCTTCAGCAGGTTACCTGATTTGCTTTCATATAACTGGACTTCCCGCCCCAAAAGATTTTTTCAGTCAGTTGCCTGCCCCCCCAAAAAGATTTTTTCATTCAGTTGCTCCCCCCCGCCCCCCAAAGAGGCAGACACCTGCAACAATAATATCTTTAAAGAGGCAGGTCATAGTAACACAGTATACTACAAGTAGAAAAGCAAGGGATGTTATTAAGTGGCATTAGCACATGGCACAGATTTTGCCCAGTACCCCAAACAGCCCAGTGCTTCTGTAACTTCAAAGTGCATGCTGGGGAAGGAAGCAAGCTTTCATCACCAGCAAAAAAATTCCCAAACCAAGTCGGCAAATGTCCATATAACCTGCCTCTCAAAGCCTGACATCAAATATAGCCTAAAATTAACTGAGCCTGCTACTGCTCTGCATTCACACAGCAAAGTGAAATCCTGGCTGTGCCTGCATCCTCCCATGTGTTTCACACACGGGCTGGAAGTGGCCAGAATGAGACCTACTCATTATTTCCTCTGCAAAGTGCGCTCCTCCCCGCTTTATCATTCATCAAGAGTTAGAACCAGTCACCAAACTAGCACTGCGATGACTTTACTACCAGCTGCTAGGCATTATGGAAAAAAACAAAAACAAATTACATTAAGGCTACCATCACTTGCCAAATCCTACTACAGGTACACCAGGCAATTACGCAACTTTGCTGACGAATCTGCCAGTACTTTCCTTCATGGACTTAGTGAGTCTCTGCTCCCAACCACCCCCTGAAGCAAAGGATCTTTAGTTAAAGCAATGACAACAGTTTTCGCACAACAGAACACCCTTCCCGTCCTCACCCACCCCGAGCAGGTACAGCAAAGGAGCTTTTTGCTCAGTGCAATCACCAACGAAAGAAAAACAAGAAGTTCAAGCCGACTCTAATTGCCAAGGCACACCCTTCTTCCAGTGCACCTGTAAACGACCGCTTGTGCAACACCACCTGAGTGTCAACAGGAGCTGTAGGCTCTACCCAAGCACGCACATGGCAATAAAGCAAAGGCACTACCCGCATTTCCACGTGCATGTAGGGTTTCCAAATGCCTATCTACCCATCTACACCTATGCAAGTGGTGACTCACCTCTTGCAAACACAGCCCTGAACCGTTTAGATCTCCCCTTGCCCGTGTTCCTGCAATTGTGGCTAATCTTCTGGTCAGACATTGCTTGCCTTCTTGATCGTCATCCTGCACAGTACCAAATAGGGTTAGCTGGTAACAAAACAAAAAATAAAAATAAAAAAATTTAACTGGTCTTCCTGAGCTAGGACCGTCTCTTCAATGGCATACATAGCCTTTTCAATACTTTTCAGGACCAGGAAAGTTTTTGTGCCTTACTTTGCTTCAGCTGATCATAGCCTGCTTGTGGTAACGCATTTGGTTACCATCTGACCCAGGACTTTTTTTTTTTACTATGAGTAGGGGAAAAGGGACAAAGGAGCACGCAGAGATGACAGCCACAAGGAGCACAACGCTAGGGCTCCACCCGGCCAACAGCCCATACCATAGGCACAAGCTGTCCTCGTAAACAGGCTGCGGGAGTTACCCGGTTCCACAGTCCGACCCCAGCTGCCGTCCCTGGGACCATCCTGCACATACAGGAACTTTTCCACGCACATGATCCGTGCACACAGGGTACATGGAGAAGTGGCACGACACCAGGAGGCCGAGGCTCTCAAAGCATCACGTCTCTGCACACAAGACTGCATCTTGCAGAGGGCACTGGAGGAGCGTTTCCCAGCCACGCACAGATGCTCAGTAGTTTGCCCCTACGAGAAAGCTTTAATGCCACAGATTTAATCATCACCTACCTGCTGCACCAGGAGTGTAAATAAATCCCCTATTCAACAACTTAGAGGAATAACCTTAGCAGCAAAAGTAGTGCTCTATAAACTATCGTTTCTTGACAGATCCCTAACTGTGCCCAGACTGACCGGTCCTCAGTCTGTGTCTAAGCCACTGATCTCGTTGTCTGGTTTTAGGGCATCAGTTTGCTCAGCATTCTGGGTTTTGTTTTGTTGGTCTGTTTTGTTTTGTTTTTTTTTTTCTGAAGGAAAATGTTTTAAGGCAGGGACCATACTGCAGTATTTAATATTGTTCTTACCTTGGGTCAAATACACTTATTCTCTGTGCTTTTCATTTGTTGTTGCTCAAGTTATCTTTTTCAAGATAACAATTTTACTTTTGTTCCTTTTTTCTCCCTCCAGGTGCCCTGCCCTTAACAGCAGCAGACTTAAATCTAAATTATTCCACAGATAACATCTATTGCTACACAACATTTTTCTGATCTATACTTACAAAGCACTCCAACGTATGCTCAATTAAAATGCTCACCATGACGTCTAAGGGCACGTGCAATTTTTCCATAGCACGTCTAGGACTAGAAAGACAGATTTACGCCATTGACAACAGTGACACACTAATGCCAATTTAACCTTTGTGTGCCCAACACGCACATAATAGGAAATAATATGCTACAGATAAACGAAGTAGTGCTGATATTTCTACAAATGACAAAAAAAAGACACCAGAACTTAATGCCTGCACAGAAATCTAAACAAAGAACGGGTTTAGATTAGGAAAAGTATTCTGAGATAATCACATCTTCCCTGATCTGTTTAACCTACTTCCTAGCAGTAGGAAATACTCATTATATTGTTTCTCCCACCAAAAGAAAAATGCAAAGGGTGCAAGCGTACAGCATAAGCATTTAGCACTAGAGGTTGCTAGAGATCACAGATAACCCATCAGATTTGGTGTCACAGGTGAAGAAAGACTGCTTCATTAGGAGTTACATCCTCACAGAAAATCTCTTGAACAGCCAACTTGGGAAAGGCGAACAAATCTTACAGCTCTTAGATCATCCAGTAAAGACTTGGCACTTAACAGTGCCAAGAAAAGATACAGCCAAGCTTTAAAGATGCTCTTCTGCAGGTAGCTGCCGAGTCTTCCCCATCGAGGGCTTTCAGCTCTGGTGAGGTTTCAGCAACCAGTTTAAGCCAAACTCAGTTGCCACCAAGAGGTCTCGTCCACCCCAAAGCTCTCACCATCCACAAGCCTGCTGCTGGCCGCATCAGGGGTCAGCTAGGCCGAGACTCACGTTTCTTCTGCCACATTAGTTTTCTGCTGGAGCACATTCCCTGATCCAGGAGAAGGGGCTGGAGCTCTGGGACCAGCACAAGGAAAGCCCCGGGCCTGCTCTTCAGGCAGCCCCGTGCACTCAGGCCTAGGCCAGCTGCAAAGACGTGTCCGCATGGGCCCAGGGGCTCTCCCCATGACCATGCTCCCCAGGGACAGAAGGGAAGGGCTCTTTATTGACATCTAAGTTCTTGGGGGTGACGCAAGAGGAAGAGATCTCCGGAGAACTTCAGGTGAACAAAGGACAACCAGCAGAAGCCGATTAACTCCTAAGCAACAGAGATCTTTTCATGTAAACCTCCGGAGTGGCAACGAGCTAGCAGGTATGTGTGTGATTAAGCAGGAAT